ATGTGGTTAAAAACAAAAAATGAGGGGCTGGGGCTGGGGTTCAGTGGCAGAGCTCTTGCCTCTCATATGTGAGGCACTGGGTTCAATCCTCAGTACCACATAAAAATAAATAAACAAAGATATTGTGTCCATGTATAATTTTAAAAAATTTAAAAAACAAAAACAAAAAATGAATTAGGAAACAAGAAAGAATTCTGAATGGGAGCCACCAGGAAGACTTTGTATAAAAGGTGGGAAGGTAGCATACACATGTCCTCCAGCATTGCAGCTGTGAAATCCAAGGCCTTGTTTGAAGGACAAATTGGGAAGAGAATACCTTTGTGTTATCTATGACACAAGCTTTGTTAAGCAAAGCAATACCAGCATGAAGTTGTAGAAAGGATGGCTAGCTATTCACCAGTGGCTAGCAGCTCAGTCCAGTTCAAATATACTTGCCTCACCCCACTGCCCCTTAGGCCATGGGAAGAGAGGCTGATGTCAGGAACCTGTGCCCCCTACCTCCTTGCTGATCCACTAGGCAGAACACCCCTTGCTTCTCAAGCCTGGGCCTGGAAGGCAGTCATAGTGAACCAAGCAGTCAGGAGGCTGAGGCAGCTGGACACGGAAAAGCCAGACAGTTGTTTACCAAGAGTCAGGTGAATGAATCACTATGTGTGGACGTTTGTCACCACACCCCAGAGGCTAGGCAAAGGAGAAAGACAAGCAGCCATTACCAGCCCCTTTCTGCCCCTCCTTGGGATAGCACACTAGCCCATAGGAACCCGCAGAGGGGATTTTTAAATTAGTGTTCCCATAGGGGGTGTGGAGGGCCTGAAGAGCTGTAGGGAGGAGTGACAGGCAGTTAGTAGGGTGGTGAAAATATCTCCCTCACATCTCCTTTCTCTCCACCCCCAGTGTGGCTGCACAGAACTCCTCATGGTGGGAGATGCTTCTCAGCTGGTCTAAACACAAATCTGTATCCCTGATCTGATCTAACTGCGCAACTGGGCTGCCCTGTCTCCAGGCTGTTGCCTGCAGAAAGGCCCAGGAGCATTTTGGCCTCTGGGAGTCTGCTGCATTTGGAGGAGGGCAGGTGTCTCACCTGTCCAGTCTAACCTGCCAGGCACCTTGTCCGTGTGCTCAGGGCCCACAGAAACTCTCTTCCTCTTTCAGTCTGTGCTAGAGGCGGGGCAGGATGGGAGGAAAGAGCAGTCAGCTCACCGCACCCAGGCAGTGGGAGGTATTTACAAACACTCCTGGAATTCAGTGGAACTGTGAAGGTTTGGTAGCCTTGGCCAGTGGAAGAGGTCAGAGGGGTTGTGGGAGAGAAGGGAAAGCCAGGCTGGGTGCCAGCTTTGTCATTGCCCTTGTCACTGTGCCTGTGATCTCCCAGGCCAGAATGTAGGGTTGTAAGATTGAGAGAAGACAGATTCTTACTCCTGGGTGGTCAGTCGTTGAGTCTTTTTTTTTTTTTTTGGGGGGGGGGGGTTGACTTTTTTTTTTATTTTAATATTTATTTTTTAATATTTGGCGGACACAACATCTTTGTCTGTATGTGGTGCTGAGGATCGAACCCGGGCCGCACGCATGCTAGGCGAGTGCGCTACCGCTTGAGCCACATCCCCAGCCGGTGTCGTTGAGTCTTGAGGACAATGTGCTCTGTCCTGGATGACCACCAAGGCGTGTGGAGAGCTGCAGGAAGACGACTCTGAGGCACATCCTCTGCTGGGGCTTCCCTCTTCTCTGACCTATTTCCAATTCCTGCTTTAGATGGGCCCCACACCTCTGAGTTACCTGCTGCCAGTGTCCCCAGTGAGGACGAACTTGATTTCTCCTGGTGGTGAGGTGGTCTTGCCCTCCCCATCCTACCCCCTCTGCTTTAGCCAGAGTTTGCAACTGACAGAAACCCAAACACACAGGGTCACAGGTGCTCAGAATTTTTCCTTCCTCTCCTGCTCCCCTCCCTCTTTCTAATTTTTTCCATGACAGGAAGAGAGGCTTCATTTCCCTCTGGGCCTATGAAGCTGCCCAGCTAGGTTTCATTCCTCGCTTTCTTCCTTGTGGAAGCTGCACTGACAATGTGAGTGTGGGGGTAGAAAGGAGACCAGAGGTGAAAAGTTAACTCCCAGGGCCAGTTTTGACCCTAAAACTAAACTTTGTGTAGCTGAGATGAAGCACTGGACAGTCAGGGCGACCAAAGAGGAAAGTGTATGCCTTATTTAATTCAGTACAAGATACCTAGCATGGGGAAGGGGCAGCTAGATGGGGAGGAGGCAGACAATCCCTAAGTGATAATGAAGGAAGATATTTAGCCGTGACCTTGGCTGATCACATCTGCCCAGCAACTTGAGCACAGCCTAATGATATCACTGCTCAAAGCCCTCTGAAGGCTGGCTATCCATGTCCAACACTTTGGAATAAACTCCTTAGACTGGTGTTTTTCTTTCTTTGGGGATTGAACCCAGGGATGCTCTACCACCAAGCTACATCCCTAGTCCTTTTTATTTTGAGACAGGGTCTTGCTAAGTTGTCCAGGCTAGCAACTGCCTCAGCCATCTGAGTTTCTGGGAGTATAGGGGTACATCACCATGCCCAGCCTTAGACTGGTGTTTATAATCTGCATGATCTGGCCAACGATGGATGACCTATTTCTACCACCCACCCCTAATATCCCTCTTAAATATCCTATATCTCAGCCTCCTTGGGTACCCTTAAACATACCATGACTCTTAGGTCCCCCTGCTTTTGCTTTGACTGTTCCATTTTCTCCTTAGCAAATGCTGTTCCTTTCTGTCTCCTTCTCTGCCCTTTCAATCTGAAATATTCTTAAGGGCCCAACTCAATGCAATTTCATAAAAATCAACCTGCCTAGAGAAACCATTTTCTCCTTAAGACACTGAAAGCAGTTCATGAATACAGGAGTTTCTTTACATTATCATAGGGTGCCTGGAACTGATTCTTATTCAGCTTTGTGAAGCACCTAATATGTGCCTGGCACAAAGCACATTCTAAATAAATCTTTATGAAAATGAATTGAGCCATGAGATTGAATGAAGTTAATGGATCTTCAAGAAGGGGAAATGGTACCAAAAACATTCTGTTCTGTTAGGCTCTCCTGCCCTGTACCTCAACCTCCTTATCACCATTAAATATTTACAATGTACTAAATAGGCCTATCCCACACTGTAGCTGCCCCCAGTTGCAAACCTGAGGCATATTTGTCTTCTAATGTCCTACATGGTAAAAGGAAACACTATGTACTCAAAGTTGGCTGGAATAGCCTGCAAACTCTTTGACACTATTTCCTGAAAACATACTGTGTGCCCAGGTTTCTACTGGGAAGTGTGAAAGGGACAAGATGAATAAGTCACTGCTTGGTCTCTGCCCTCAAAGTGACTATTGGAAATCAAACCTTGGAAAAATTCGAGCAAAGCCTTATAGTGAGGAGACCCTGGACAGGCAGAGAGGATGGCAAGGGCAACCAAGGGGACGAGGAGTGAACACCATGAGGGACAGAGATTATCTGGGCTGCATGTTTGTTTGTTCAGGAGGTAGAGGAGAATGAGTTGGGGTGGGACCTAAAGGGGAGTGTCTTGAAATCTCTTGAGTGTGAAACCAAATGCAGTTGGTGGTAAGGCAACATTGCAGGATTAGTGAAGGTTAGTGAAGCAACACACAGTGTGGATGATAGGGAGGAGAGCCTGCAGATCATGTGGGAAATAAAATCAAGGTGTGATCCAGGACTGGGGTTTTGAGCATCTAAAAGAAGCAAGAGATGCAGTGAACACTAGATTGGGAGTCAGGAAACCTGGGTTTTCCTCCCAGCTCTGCTGTGGGACCTTGAACAGGTCATGTCTCTGTTCCAGACCTCTCCTTAATTGTACAACTTTAAACCCTTCAGAGCAACTTTTCCAATCTGATGACCAATGTGGAGGAGTTGAGCCTTTGAACCAGGACTGAGAACTGAAGGGAAGCAACCAATCTAATAGACACTTGGAACAAGGAAGTGGCTGAGTGGAAGCCCAAATATGAAGCCCAGGAAGAGAATGAAGTTGACCTAGCCAGGGAGAAATGGGGAACTAAGGGGCTGGGTGGTGGCTGGACGCTGGTCCTGATGTTTGGTTTGGCAATCCCATTTCTAGTTCCCCCTTTCTTCACTTTTCCTAACTTAGCCTCACCTTATTTGGTGAGAGCAGGGAAGAAGAGGACACTCCCTCACCCATTTTCATGCCCCTCAACTTACCTTCTCCTTTTCAGACCCTCAAAAGATCCTCACCTTCCAAGGCTCTTGCCGTCTTCCAGTGGTCCAAAGTAGAAAGACCACTGGGAGTCATCTTCATTATCACTCAGAGTTTCCATTTACTTAGAACTCACAGGTGCTAAGCACTGTGCTAAAAACTTTAATGCATTATTTTTCTTTTACAGCAATTCTGGGGGCGGGGAGGTGATTTCAATCTCATTTTACAGATGAAGAAACTGAGACTTAAATGTGTTAGTAATTTGGGCTGGGGTTGTGGCTCAGCGGTAGGGCACTCGCCTAGAACGTGCGGGGCCCTGGGTTTGATCCTCAGCACCACATAAAAATAAATAAATAAAGTAAAGGTATTGTGTCCATCTACAACTAAAAAATAAGTACGTAAATATTTTAAAAAATGTATTAATAATCTGCAAAAGATCACACATCTGCCACTTGGCGATGCTGGACTGTAAACTAGGTCTGACTCCTAGTCAGAGCTTTGGCCAGCTCCTGTTGGGCGGAGGAACCTTGGCAGCCGCGGACATCAACCCTCACCTACCACCAACTTCAGAACTCCTGAAGCCCTCTCCGCCACCCGCCCCTGCCCACGTGACCTCCCGCCTCTTCCTTGGCGGCTCCAGCCCCGCCCTCGGCGCCCCAGAGGCCGCTCCGCGCTGGCAGGTGGGGCGGGGGCTGGCAGGGTAGGGGCGGGTCCTGACGGGGGCGTGGCCGGAAGCCTTAAAGCGGCCTGGACAGCGGGGCTGGCCGAACAGGCCCCGAGTGGCCGCGATCTTCTCCTGGTGTCCTAGCCCGCTGCAGTATCGTCACCATGTCTCTGGCGGCCTCGGCGGGCCGGGGCCCGGGGGCCGTGTGGTCCCCCACCCATGTGCAGGTGACGGTGCTGCAGGCGCGGGGTTTGCGGGCCAAGGGCCCTGGGGGTACGAGCGACGCGTACGCGGTGATCCAGGTGGGCAAAGAGAAGTACGCCACCTCGGTGTCGGAGCGCAGCCTCGGCGCGCCAGTGTGGAGGGAGGAAGCCACCTTCGAGCTGCCGCCGCTGCTGTCCTCCGGAGCTGTGCCAGCGGCCGCCGCCACCCTGCAGCTCACCGTGCTGCACCGCGCGCTGCTCGGACTCGACAAGTTCCTGGGCCGCGCCGAGGTGGACCTGCGGGAGCTGCACCGCGACCAGGGCCGCAGGAAGACGCAGTGAGTGCGGGCCGGGACCTAGAGGACCAGGGCTGAGGGAAAGGGACAGCGGCGCAGGCTCGGCCCCTGGGCCAGTGGCCGCCGCACTGGGTCCCTTTTGGAATGGGCGTGGAAGTCACAGTCCGAGAGGGCTCCCCTATACTTCATTCTGACCTAGCTTCAGCTTCTCATCCAGCTCTCGTAGTATTGAGGCTTTTTGAAAGTTGGGACAGGTTTGAATCTATCTTCAGGGTACCTCTCAGGCCCGGGCACACAGTAAGCACGAAATGAATTTTTGATGAATTGAAACTATATGTGGGCTGGCGAATTCATTTTATTAGGGTGGGGTCTGATACACCCAGTAACTCATGTGGAAGGCCTCCTGAGTATGTCACTAAACAGGACACTTTGAGCTGAGAATGAATGGGCCAGAGCACAGAGGAAATTAACCGGTAAAATTAATTTTCCCGACATCCCAAGAAGCTAACCCCTGGACAGAGAAGGATCAGTGCTGGGTGGATGAGGAAGGAGGTGGGGACCTGAATGGGGAAATGTCCACTGCTCTGTGATTGGTAGCGCCCATTCTTTCTCCTTCCTAGGAGGTTGGTGAAAAGAATTTGCTCTTCCAGGAAGAACACTGGAAAAGTGGGATGTTTGCCCTAGGTCTCAAGTTAGTAAGATTTCCCAGTAATGGATGGTTCCAGAGTTGACCCCTTTGTTGAGCAGAATTGGGCATTGTTTCTTTGTCAAGCTCTTCCTTGGTCCCACTAAAAGTGGGTGGCTTCTCACCTGCCACTCCCCAGTGGAAAGTTCTTTGTCGGAATATCTCACTTCCACAGTAAAAGCCCAGCAAAACCTAATTAACTGCATTGTTAGTGATTTATTCTCTTTCACAGGTGTTTGGAAAGGGCAGGTCATAACCCCATTGAATATTTGATTATGTTTATCTGGGATGCCAAAGATAGCCTTGATCAGCCTAATTGGTTACTTTGCTGACCTTGAATATGCTAACCAGTCATGTTACTACCAAACTCCTGACAGTTTATGAAGCACACTGATTGCCCTTGCATATTTTAGATATACAGAACATTCTAACTTTTCCTTGTGAGGTAGACAGGAAAGGCCAAAGGGCTTGTAGTTCCCATGCTCTTTTCTTTATGGTGGGTTCATTTTCAGCCTGCCTGCTTGCAAATGAAATATCTGATTTGCTTATCTGGCCCAAGATGAATAGTCATTTCTAAGCTCAAATCAGATAAAATGTAGAACCTTAATATGATGGATGGGGTATCTCATAGCATCAACTTACAAGCCATAAGGTGAGCATCCTCTTTGCTAAGGAGGGGCTGAAGCAATGCTAATTTTCCATCTGATTAAATGAAATTTGAGGCCTTAGGTTATTGGCCGTTGGCTATTCTTTGTCTTGCCCTATCCCAAGATGTGTGGATATTCATTTCCATCTCTGCCATCTGTTTGTTATGTGAATATTTCATCTCCTTGAAAGACTTCACATCTCCCTGCCAGAAATGGGGCCTCAGAGTCCTGGTTCTGGTGTCCATTCTGGTTCTGACTCATTGTTGGGTTGCTCTGTCTCAACATCCCCCTTTCCCTATTTATAAATGAAGCATGTTGCCATACTTAATTGATATTTGTAAGGTGTTTCTGGGTTCCTGGACTAATGAAGCCAGTGTAAAGATTCAAAAGGTTCTGTACTGCTTTGAGAGAGATGAAAACTCAAGTTCTCTTTCAGGAAGGGTTCAGTCTCTGTATCTTCAGTTTTCTCATCTTCTCCAGGGTAATTCTAAACCTAGATGGTTACTCCTGTTTCTATTACCTGAGCTGATGACCGCTTAGTCATAGTATTGTCTTGAAGGAAAATGGTGCTTACTTAATGGGTTTTTATAACTGCAGTGGAAGGCTTTTTTGCTTCTGTACATGTGGGTGAAATTGTAAGCTTTCCATCTACCACTTCCTGGGACTTTCCAAGGTGCTGGGGGAACCCAGTTAAAGTAAGTTTGACGAGATGCCCAAGGTAGCTGAGATTTGGATAATAAGATATGCACTGAGAGGTAGAAGTTTAACAAAAAGAAACTGGTTGGGCTGGGAAAGTCTTTTGAACTAGTTATTAATGGTATAACTCCACCTTAGACATTAAAAACTAAAAACAAAACAGAAGCTAAAATCTTGTCTGTAGATTGTGTATGACTCTTTGTGTGTGTGAGTGTGTATAAAGAAGAGTGGTGCAACAGAGCATGACTTTTGTCATGAGTATGATGCTTAAACTCAAGAGCCAATAGAGCATTAAGAGCCAATGGGCTAATATTTCTACTTATTTTCTTGATAAGTCCCCATCTATCAAATTTATTTGGAGTCAAGAGAATGTGCTTTTTATCATGACTCAATTTGCTGGCCTCGAATTTAGTGTGGTAACACATATCTTTAAAACACCAAACAGGTTGACACATAGATAGAATATATTTAATAGGAAATAGTATGTGAAACTTTAGTTAGGAAAAATCTAAATGAATTGATCTTTCACTTACACATCTGTTAAAGACCTGGGGTCTCAGTGGGGGTTGGTAAAATGGGAATCAGTTAAGTACCATGACCACAAAACAGACAGGAGTCTGAGGGGTACAATCAGGTGATCAGCATGTGAAGCCCTCTGCTCTGCTATCTAGTGTTGTATAGTTTGGAATCTTAGATTGATTTAAAAAAATATTTTAGGCTATAAAAAGTATCAGAATTTGGAGAAATAACCTTTTAAGGATTGAAATATTTATTGAATTATTAAAATATTTATTCAGCCCGGTGACTGGAAGGCCACTGTGTAATCAATATAATGAAACTTAATACTATAAGTCTTCCAGATATGGAAGAGAGTATGAATGATGGAGGGTCATTTCCTCGTATGTGTTAAAAACTCAAAACAGCATTTGGGTGAATATGAAAGGACTTAGATATCATAAAGTTTAGATTTTTAAAGAGCTGTAAGTGCAGTAAGATGTTGAAATACGTTGTCAATGTAGAAGTTTGGATTATTAAAAAGAAACAAGGGTTCGGTGTAGTGGCACATGCCTATAATCCCAGCGATTTGGGAGGCTAGTGCAGAAGGATCTCAAGCTCAAAGCCAGCCTGGGCAACTTAGTGATACATAAATCACATGAATGTATACAAATTTGTTTTTTTTCTTTCTTTTTGGTAACAGGTGGGAAAATTCAAACAGTGTTGTTATTGGTTAAGTTTTTTTCTTTCTTGAAGTTTCCCTTCAAGATAATATTGGGTACGGGGTAAAAATGGGAGTTCATAACCCACTTGAATCAAAGTGTGAAATATGATATATCAAGAACTATGTAATGTTTTGAACAACCAACAATAAAAAAATTAAAAAAAAAAAAAAGATAATATTGGGCCTTACTGGAAACCCTTTCTCCTTTCACAGCCACAGGCCCCTCCCTCCCACTCCACCGAATGAAACTGAACTCAATGCTCAGGACTGAATTCTTTGTGGGTCCTGGGATAAACAACACTTTTCACTATGGCAATGAAGTAAAATGACTGAAAAAAGAGAGTACATCAGAGTTGTCATTAGGTGGTGTGCTTTTCTGATGGTATTACTTATAATTTCTTTTGTAAGACATTTAGCTAGCATGGAGGAAGTTCCGACTGCTTCCTGCCCACTTCTGATGTCTAAAGTTTATTGATTCTTTTTGTAAATATGTTTAAATACCTACTACATGCCATTTGCTGGATATACAGTGTAAACAATGGTAGACAAGACAGGCATGATCCCTGCTTTCAGGAAGCTCAGGGCCTCATGGGGGAGTAGACGTTAAACAGAGGAATACATAAATAAACAATCATGTAGTATAATGAGTATTGTGAAGGAAAAGAACAGGGTATCATAAAAGAAAAGGAGCAGGAAAGTTACTGCATGATATAAAGACAGAGATTGCAAAGCCTGGCATGGTGGCCAGGCTACCAAGTTTACCAAGTATCTGGGAATACAGGTACTTGGTAGACTGAGGTGAGAGGGTTGCTTGAGCTCAAGGTGTTTGAGGCCAACCGAGGCAACACAGTGAGAATCACCCTCACCCCTCATGTGTGTGGGGTGGGAGAGGGAGAAAGAGAGAGAGAACACATGTGAGTTAGAGAGTGCCTCTTAAGCATTACCTGAAGAATAAAGAGGAATTCTTCTAGTGAAGAGCAAAGGAAGGAGGCCTACTGGAGGAGGAGGAACCTGTGCAAAGGTTCAGAGGCAGAAGTTGGAAGATTGTATAGGATGAGGCTGAAGAGGAAGGTATGGCTTTATTTAAGAACAATAGGAGAATAGGAAGCCACCAAATGTTTAGAGTAAAGGTGGGTGATATAATCCAGTTTGTCAAAGTTTACAGTGGTTACCGAATAGAGAATGGATTCAAACTTGGCTTAGCCTGCAATAGACCAATGGAAAGAAGCTATCACAATAATCTAAGCATTGCACGGTGGTGGCTTATAGTAGGGTAATGGCTATGGAGATGGACAGACATGGGTGATTTTAGAAATATTTTGTGAGTTTAATTGACCTGACTTGTGATGGTTTGGAAGTGGAAGGGGCTCAGGGAGAGGAAGTGATATGAATGAACAAATTATGAGAGCTTGGTGTTGAAAGTGAACCAGGAAGTGGTGGCTGCTTTCTTCCCCCAACAGTTACTCTGATACCAGCATGAGGTCACCATTACAAAGCTTTGGACAGTGCCACCTGTGAGTTGAGTCTTCTGTTGGAGTGAATGACTAGGAAATACCATTGAAACCAGGGTATGTATATATGTGTCTTCCAATAGTTACCATTTTAGTGCATGTCAAGTCTTTGTTTTGTAATTGTGTGGCTGGTATAGTCTCATTGGTGTGTTCTAGTGTGGCTGATGATGTCACTGCTTCAGGGGATATAGGACTAAAAAAAGGAAAAAATAATATGTAACAGTAGGAAAGACAAGCCCATAAATGGAAAAAAAATCAAAAAACAAAAAACACACTAAAACTCT